TACTTCAGTTTCCTCATCTGCAAACTGAGATAAGAACAGCACCTACTTGGGCACCTGGGTGGTTCAGTCCGTTAAGCGTCTGCCTTCGGCTCAGGTCATGAGCCCAGGGTCCTGGGATGGAGCCCTGTATCAGGCTCCTTGCTTGGCGGGGAGCCTGCTTCTCCCTCTGCCTGCCACTCCCCCTCCTTGTTCTCTCTCTCCCTCTCTCTCTGACAAATAAATAAATAAATAAATAAATAAATAAAATCTTAAAAAAAAATTTTTTTTAAATAATAAAAAAAATAAACTTGAGGCTTGCTAGTCACTTAAGACTAATCAAATATAAAAGTAAGGACAAACCATACTGATGTAAGATCTGAATATTTAGCAGTTCTCTGAGTAAAATTATCACTTAAAATGTAAATGATATCTGGGGCGCCTGGATGGTTCATTCGGTTAAGTATCTGACTCTTGATTCCGGCTCAGGTCATGATCTCAGGGTTGTGGGATTGAACCCCAAGTCGGGCTCCACACTGAGTGCAGACTCTGCTTGTCTCCCTCTCCCTCTGCTCACTCTCTGTCTCTCAAATAAATCTTTTTTAAAAATGTAAATGATAGCAACAGGTGTCATAAAAGTATTGATAAAATAATTTTAGCTACTGATCCATTTAATACATCTGTACCAATGTAGCCAGCAACTTTATCCTCAGGACATCCTCTCTTCAATGTCTCTTACTCCATTATCTTTAGCAAGAAAGGCTGTAAACAGTTGGCCCAAATGACTATGTGGCTAAGTGGTTTATCAATAAAACCTGGTTTAGTCAGTGTGCCACTTACTTTTCTCTAGGAAAAACATGCACAGTGCATTATACAATTGTCTTGAATTTTAGTTCAAATGCTCCATAATTCTTACTATGGGTTTTTTTTTTATAAAGAATTTTAAATAGAAAACTGGGCTTTAAAATCGCAGAGCGTGCATCATACATTTGCTGTACTAATACCAGATTATAAAAATTGGTGCAGTGTCAGTTTAATTGCCAGCTTTAGAGAGACCAGGTACATGGTAAATGATAAATATTAGTTGCTTAGTTTTCTTCAAATCCAAGATGCCATCAGTTGTAAGACATTAAAAAATAAAATTAGGACTGGCAATTATAATTGTAAGATGCCATCAAAGGTAAGATGCAACTCTACTTCAGAGTTTCCAAAATATAAAATATCTGTATCTTGAGGTCAATGAAAGATGATATCATTATTAGTTATTAAGAAATATTTATTGAGGGCCTTCTATTGTCTGTAGTTTGAGCATTGGGATTTCTTAGGTATATAATGGGACTATACATAGTCCCTGACCTTGGGGGATTTAAAGTCCAGGTAAGGGGCACCTGGGTGGCTCAGTCGGTTAAGTATCTGACTTGATTTTGGTGCAAGTCATGATCTCAGGGTCATGAGATGGAGCCCAGTGTTGGGCTCCACACTGGAGCCTGCTTAGGATTTTCTCTCTCCCTCTCCCTCTGCCCTTCTCCTGCCGCTCTCTCTCAATAAATAAATTAATTAATTAAATTAAAAAATAAAAAAATAAAGTCCAGTTAAAAAAGAAAATACATGTGAAAAATTAACTACTGATATGAATTAACTCACAACATGAAAAAGTTACCTAAAATATATTACAAAAGTATATCAGCATGGCTAAAGTTTAATTTCTAAAAAGTAATTCTTCCTCGCCTAAAAAATGATAGTTTTGGGGCACGTGGGTGGCTCAGTTGGTTGGGTAACTGACTCTTGATTTCAGCTCAGGTCATGATCTCAGTGTTATGAGATCGGACCCCACACTGGGCTCTATGCTGGGCATGGAGCCTGCTTGGGATTCTCTCTGTCTTTCTATTCTTCCCCTTCTCCATCTCTAAAAAAAAAAAAAGAAAAAAAGAAAAAAAATAACAGCTTTAATTTTGGGGATTATTCAGAAAAGAAAGAATCATGGTATATTTACATTCAAATGCCATAAGCTTTGTGTTATTTTATTTTTGTTTAATATTCAAAGTTAATGTTGAACATTAACCATCTCCTTCAAGTATTGCTGGGCACATATTAATTACAAATACTAACTCTCATATAGAGCTCTACTGAACACATCATAAATATTGGAGAAAGAAACAAAGGCAAGAAATTGTAAGACTTGGCTCAGAAATTTTCAAATAAATTGCTTCTGTGGCCCATGTTCAATCTTCAGTCTTCCTGGACTCTCTCACAAACTAATTAGGAAAAGAGATCAACAAAAGCATCCTGCCCAAATGTAACATTCAATACAGTCATGGTTTACAATAAGTGAAGAATTAACTGCTTATTAAGAAGGCTAAGGGGCACCTGGGTGGCTCAATGAGTTAAGCATCTGCCTTCTGCTCAGGTCATTATCTCAGGGTCCTGGGATTGAGCCCACTTAGGGCTCCCTGCTCAGCAGGGAGTCTACTTCTCCCTCCCCCCACTTCTCGTGCTCTCTCTCAAAACAGATAAAGAAAATCTTAAAAAAAGAAAAAAGAATGTTAAAAAGTACAAACTGTATCATCAAAATTTTATTGGGAAATATGGGTGAGGGCATATGAATTTCTTTGCAGTCAGTAACTATTACTTCTGTCCAAACAGTATTTTTCTAAGAAAACATTGTTTGGGTTAAGACTTAAAATATCTAAGTTATGGGGTGCCTGGATGGATCAGTGGGTTAAGTGTCTGACTCTTGATTTTGGCTCAGGTCATGATCTCAGGGTCCTGAGATTGAGAATCATGTTATTGGGCTCTGTGCTCAGCAGGGAGTCTGCTTCTCTCCCTCTGCCTCTGCCCCTCCCCCTGCTCAGGCACACATGCACTCTCTCTAAAATAAATAAATGAATCTTTAAAAAAAATACCTAAGTTATTTCTCAGAAGAAAACAGAGTTTGGGACCCTGGGAACAGTGAGGCCAGAAGCTATCAAATATCACTTTTAAACAGATTCAATTCAAAACTGTATCTACTTGGAAACAGGCGGTTGTATGCTGTTGATATAGATTTCTTTTGTGTTCTAGCTTTCAAAAAAGTAATTCTTGTCTTAAATGAAGAAGTTATGCAGGGCAAGAATTTAAATTACCTTTCCCAGTGCCAACATGAATAAGATAGAGCATTCCAAAAGAGAGAGTCAGAGATCACTATTAAACTAAAGGAAAAGACAACACTGAACATCATTTAATTCAAGGGTCATCTTCTGTGATATCTATGTATGAGATGTTGTACCAACTGTGGGGAGAATCACAAAGAAATAAAAATGTATCCCTGTCCAATCTAATCTAATAGCAAAGGAAAGAAATTACCTTGAATAAGTATACAGTAAAATATAATCAGCATTACAATAGAGTTACAAGCAAAATGTGATCGTACACGTCACTTTGTTGTTGATATCTTGGAGCTTTATAGAAGAGTTGGCATTTTAAACAGTCCTTAAAGAATGGGTACGACTTTAATAACTGGAGTTGAGGGGGAAGAAGCATTCTGGGCTAAGGGAAAAGAATGGAGAAAGAGAAAGTCATGGATGGAATGTTTACGGGGTTGTGGGAAGTCCTGCAATTTGTGCCCGATCAGGACGTGCACATGGGAGATAAAACAGAAGATGATACACAGCAAGACTGGGAAGACTCTTCAAACCCAAGCCAAAGGGCTGGTCCTCAGAAAGGAGGTCTAAAGTATTCAGGTTTCCTGTGATCAAGGTTGTGCCTTAGGAAGACTAACTAGACGACAATGTCCAGAATAGACTGGAGGAGAAGAGATCACTTAGGGAGCTACTGTAATCATCTTAGCAAAAGGTTCTGGAAGAAAAATGTTCAAGTATGAAAAACTTTCTGAAGGAGAAATGATAGGATTGAATGTCAATCAGCTGGATAGGATTAATCTGATGTGTGCAGCTTGCATAACCCAGAGGATAGGCAGAAAATATATAATTGGTGATGTGGGAGCCATGGGAACCCTTGACCCTGAACTGTATATTATTAAAGGGAAAGGAAAGGTAGTGGTAAATTTTAGAGTATGCAGGTTTTATGGGATGTTGTTGTCTGAGCAGAAGGTTCAGAATAGAAAACCATTCAAGATGCCTTCCAGCTCTCTTTTGCCTGACTGCCTATAAAACAGCTGTTTCTGAACTGCCCTTGGCCTTATTCCATTGGCTTACCTCCATTAAATAAATATTGAGTGAGTGTGTACTGAGTGCCAGGGACTGCTCTAGACAGTTGGGGCAAATCAGTTAACAAAACAGAAAAAAATGCTTGCCTTCAAGGAATTTGCATTTCAGTTAGAAGAGACAGACAATAAATAATACACATAATCAAATAAATGAAGTATATTATATGTTAAAAGTCAAAAATGGTATAAAAAAAAGAGAAGACTAAGAAGTATGAGGAGTGGAGATTCTGGGGCAGGGGTAGGGGTAGAGTTTACACTGAGATGGAGCAAGTCACAGCCTTTGAACAATGTTAATATCTAAGGATGCTGTTGGAACATCTTTCACCCCATTTCTCAGCTTCCTCTTAATGAAAGCATAGGAGAGGGTCATTAAGTTTCTATGGACTCCCTGACTTCCCACCACCATCACTCACCTAACTGATCACATTTCTCTCTTGGCACTAATGGCCAGAAAGCTGAAAGCTAAATTTGTGATCTTCTAAAACATGGATGGAGCCTCATGGCATTTTTTTATATTTGTTTCCATCTTACTTTCCAAACATTCGTTTTCTTACTGCCTTGATTTCTTCACATACTTTTATCCAATTGTATATTTTTGTCAGCTAAAATCCAACTCAGATATCTTGAAGTATAAAGATATATGCAAAAATATACTGCTAAAGTTATCTTTTTTTATGATCTTGACCTCTTTTTGACACCAAAATTAGTGGCTTTAAGGTCAAACCTGTTAAAATAATACATTTAAATACTTAGCCTACATCTCATCCCATGAGAGGTATATTTGCCTTCCCTACTGGTCACAGACACTTTGGGTACTTACATGAAATTCACGCAGCCAGTGCCAACAGGTGGAGCGATCCAGACGAAGCTGAGGTTGGTTGTGGGCAGATGACTCACATGAGAGGCCACCACGCTGCACATAAACTGGTTACCAAACTGGTGGTCAGACATGATCCCTGAGAGACAGAAAGGAAGAGAAGTTGTCATAAAAACAACAAAACACGGTCTTTCTTATCATGGCATTAACAATATTTTCTGGACATTTTTCTTGTATGTTAAAATTCATCATGTTCTTTGGCCACCCTGTAAGTTATGCAATTTTCCGTGTCCTGTTGTTAGAAGGATATTAATAATTTAAAACATTTTTGTTAAGGGCTAATCTATTAATTTCATTGCTATAGTAGTTGCTTTCCTTTGATTATGTTGATGGTCTTTGTCCATCACCAAAGACCACCAGGACCATACCTATAGTATAACGAGGTTGGATTTACTGGAAGTCTTTACAGCAAATGAGACCAAATATTATTGGGAACTGGGAAGTATCTCAGTGAGGATGTTAGCAAAGGCTTGTTAAACTATTTGGGCTTGTGTTAGGTTATTTTAGAGAGTAGGATGATCAAGCTGTCCTGAGAGTTTCCTGATTTTAGTACTGAAAGTACTGGGACCCCCCAATTCTGCTGGGGAGGTTACAGGGATAGGTGATTTTTCTTCTGGATTTGGTGCTATCAGAAAGTGGGGTCAATTTTATCAGAGAGTACCTTAATAACTTGTATATGGGAGACATGAGGAATGACATAAGCTAAAGTTGTGATCGATAAAAGCCATGTTAGCATGCAGAGGGGGATCGTCATTTTTGCGATTTGCACCATGTTCTTGCTTTTGTCTGTGTTCAGGCATGATTACAAAGTGCCTTGGTTTTGGCTCAAGCCATCAGCTTCAAGGTGGCCTTGTCTGATGTTGATCTTCTATAAAACTGTTTATATTCCACATGAGAATACAATAGCCTGGCTGTAAGTGCCAGGTCAGCTCCCAGCTGAGCAATCCGGAGATGCTTTTTTTATTTTTTAAGAAGATGATTCTCTTAGGTTGACCTCTGATATAAAATATTAATAAATAACTCAACAATAAGAAAATAACAAATAGGCAAAAGACCTGAAAAGACACCTTACCAAAAAATATACAGAGGGCAAGTAAGTATATGAAAAAGATGTTCAACCTCAGAGATCATTAGAATATTGCAGATTAAAACAACAATGAAATGCCACTTTGCAACTATTACAGCCACAATGCAAAACACTGACAACACCAAATGCTGGTGTGGATGTGGAAAAATAAGCACTCTTATTCATTGCTGGTGAGAATACAAAATGGTACAGCTACTTTGAAAGACAGTTTGGCATTTTCTTACAGAAATAAACATACTCTTACTGTATGACCCAGCAATCATGCTCCATACTATTTACCCAAATGAATTAAAGATTTCTGTCCACACAAAACCCTGCACATGGATGTATATAGCAGTCTTACTCATAAAGCTTGGAAGCAACCAAGATATCCTTCAATAAGTGAATGGAATGGAACTGTGGTCCATCCAAACAATGGAGTATCTATTCAGGACCAAAAGGCCATGAGCTACCAAATTATGACAAGACATGGATAAATAAATGCATTTTACTAAATGAAAGAAGTCAATCTGAAAAGGCTACATACTGTATGATTCCAACCATAGGAAATTCTGGAAAAGGCAAAACTATGGAGACAGTAAAAACATCCCCAGTTGCCAGGGGTTAGGAGGGAGGCAAGGATGAATAGGCAGAACATAAAGGATTTTTTAGGGCAGTGAAACGATTCTGTTTAATACTACAATAGTGGACACATGTCATTATATATTGGTTAAAACACACAGAATATACAACATTAAGAGTGAATCCTAATGTAAACTAGGGACTTTGAGTGATAATGATGTGTCAGGATAGGTTACTCTGTTGTAACAAATGTATCACTGTAATGCAGGAGGCAGACAATAGTGGGGAGTTGTGGGGGGAGGTGGGGGCATATGGGAAATGTCTGTACTTTCCATTCAGTTTTGCTGTGACCTAAAAGTGCTCTAAAAACAAAGTTTATTAATAACAATATTAATAAAAACATTGTCAGGAATGAGCAATTAAAAAATTCACTTCCTGGCTTTGTGAACTTAGGCAAATGACTTACTCTGAGACCCTTGTCTTTAAAGTGGAAATACCACTTGTCTATAAAGTGGAAATACCAAAGTTATTGTGAGAATTAAATGATCCAATACATATGAGTACAGTCCCCCCCCATGTTTGGATAGGTGCCCTTTCTACATGTCATCATTAACAGTTCATACATGCTTCATCATAGCACTTGACCTGTGAGGGACTAGGTCTTTAATTTTTATATTCCAAGCAACTATCACAATGCCTGACACATCACAGATACTCAAGAAATGTTTTTATGAATCAATACAAGAATGATTTAACTAAAAAAATTAAAAGCAATAGGAAAGGTATCACATATGTTACATTACCCAGTGAAACAGAATCTTCTAGAATAAAAGAATAGGTCATACTGGACAAAGAAAGAGAAAAACAGGTCTGTATTTTGACATAGCCTAACAATGCCCTTTTTCTCATCCAAGTTTTTATTTTTTTAAGCTACGTCTTGAGACAAAACTCATCAAGCCAGAGAAACCACAAGGTTAGGGAGGAGAAGAGACGACCCAGGAAATCACAAAGTGCTGCAGGAGACTCACAAGCCATGACTCAGGATTTGCCACTCTGCTCTGGTTGGGCATAAAGCAGAAATCCTGTGTGTGTATGTGGAAAATGACACATCTGCAGGAGTCAGCCTGACCAAAAAGGAAAACAAAAGTTCCAGCCACTATCATGTGGGAAGGGAAATGAATCAAACAAAATAAGGCTTCAGGATTTCGCAGCCTTGGTAATAGGATTCACATTCAAATATCTCCTGATTCTTCAAAACCCCTCCTAGAAAGTGAGTCAATGTCTGGGTTGCATATTATTTCACAATATTTTATATATATAAAAAAAGCTATATTGTTGTAATTACGACATGCCCCACTCTGGGTAAATTTGCCACAGAACAACATTCTTGCAATCCAACCATCTGCCACGGTAGTTGCCAACAAGGCTGCACAGGGGCATCATCTGAAGAGATGTGATAAATACTGGTTCCTAGAGATTCTGAGTTAACTGGTTTGGGATAAAGCCTGGGTACTGGGAGTTTCAGAAGCTCACCAAGCAATGCTAATGTGTAGCCAAGAACATGCATTAAAAATGTGTCTTAGTAAGATGTTGTCCAGGCTTCAGGGCATAGAATAATACCCATATGGTACCAATAGAACAGTTTGGAAGTATCCAGAAGTGTCTTACACAGGGCCCTGACAGTAATGCAAAATATTCAATCCTTTACCCACTACTTCTAGAACCACGTATTCTGAGCGCCTTATTATGTACCTTCAAATACTAGGAGTGCGCAATGGTCTTTGCTTTTTTAACAAAAAGCCCTGGCATATTATACTGCCATCACAGTTTCTTTTTTGTTTTTAATTGAAGTACAATTAACATACACTGTTATATTAGTTTCAGGTATACAATATAATGATTCGATAATTCTATACATTACTCCATGCTCATCACAAGTATACTTTCAATCCCCTTTATCTTTTTCACTCATTGCCCCACCCACCTGCCCTCTGGCAACCACCAATTTGTCCTCTGTATTTAAGAATCTGGTTTTTCCCTCTCTTTTTTTGTTTGTTCGTCTGTTTTCTTTCTTAAATTCCATATATGAGAGGAATCATATGGTAATTGTCTTTGTCTGACTTATTTCACTTAACATTATAACCTCTAAGTCCATCCATACTGTTGCAAGTTGTAAGAGCTCATTCTTTTTTTGCCGCTAACATTCTATCACATATATACAATATACAATATACAGCTTCTTTACCCATTCATCATCTTTGGATGGACATTTGAGTTGCTTCCATATCTTGGTTGCCACATTTTAATTGGCATTTTCTTTGAAAATATCTAAAAGTTGGCCAGAGTTGCAACTATTAGTCATCTATTCATCTTAGTATCAACAAGCAGAAAACAACAGTATTTACAGAATACCTAGTTTGGCTCAAACATTCTGTTCGGCTCTGTGGAGGTGCACAGAAAAAACGTAGGACATGGTCCCTACCCGAAATAACATGAGCTGGAAAGAGAAAACTGGAGCAAACTGACATTCTAAATAAAACACCTAGAAAATAAGTTAAGTGTTAAATGAAGTTGTATTTGTGAAAAATTATTAAATAGGAGAAGAGTCATTAATAGAAACAATTATAATAATGGTTATAGTAATACTTAATTGAGCACTTACTATGGCCTGGTGCTATTGTAAGCATTTCATGAATATTAACTTATTTGAGGCTCTTAACAACCCTGTGAGGAAGGAGCTGTTAGTTTCTCCACTTTACCTGTGAGGACCCTGAGGTGATGGAGATAAAAGAACGTGTTCCTGGTCATAGAGAAAGTGGAGAGTGTAGCCTGGATTCAAACCAGTGCCCTTGCTATCCAGTCAGAAATGGCGCTATTGAAGAGGGAGGCTGGAGCTGACTCTTGAGAGAAAAGCCAAGATTTCCCACATTTGTTTCTATTTACATGAGGCAGGAGAGTATAATCAACAGACTGTCCCCTCGCTCTGCCACACACAGCTGAATGACCTTGTCATAGTGCCCCTTCTCAAGCTTCAGCTCTGACATCTGTAAACTGCTGGTCCATGATCACTAAGACCCCCTTCAGTTCCAAAGCTCTCTGAGTACAATCTAAATCAATAAAAGAAAGATGGGAGGACATCTCACAAAGGCAGACATAATGAGCAGAGGTGCAAATATAAAATGAGAATGAGAACAGTCAGGCTCAGCTTCCAGTGTTCTATGAAACACAGTTTACTGCCTCCACCACAATGATCTTCTTAATGGCTTGTGTCATGAAAGACATATAATATCCATCTAATTAATGTAGGTGATTTGGGAACCTATTTTGGGACAACTGAAATTTGAATTTGATAATGAATTTAAATTTATGATGGTGCTTTCCCTGCTGCGTGCTCGATAATAGGATACATATTGAGTTTTTAATATTACTAT